GCATTTTTCCCTCACCACATTTTTTTCGTGTCCCTAGGCGCAGAAGCCACAAGGCAATTTTCTAGGTTTGAATACAGTGAGCTACAGGATTGATGCTAATTTACTTTCATTCATTTTCGAAATTTTTGACAGTGAAACCCATCCCAACCGTCTTGGGTCCATTTCTTCTCAGTGATCTCAGTTTAAAAGCTGTCAGGCGTATAATGTTTATTATCGGAGATTCAATAGTAAGAGATCCAAGGGTGGCACAGTCGGGTAGCACTCGCCTTCCTATTTTATTGATGGAAATACATTTTTATTTATTATAACAACAAATTTCGTTGGCTTTCAACTGCAGAGTCATTTTATATTTTCAAAGAAAAATTCTCACAAAAGATACTTCCCATATCTTCTTGGGTTACCCCAAAAGTTGCCAAAAAGGCGTTGCATCTGACGCTGTTTTTCTTGAATGTAAATGTTTGATCCATCACTTATAATTACTCTAGCCAGACAGGTCTGCACGAAAAATACAAGCAGGGAAATAATGAAATGAAAACGACAGAAAGGAACAATCCCTAGTTGCTGAAATTTCAAGAACAGAAAACGACATCGAGATTGCAATGGATGTCAAATCAGTATTAGCTTTGGGTTTTACCCCATTCTCGCCTAAATGAAAACTTGCACTTGCAAAACTCAACAATGGTGGCAAGTAGCAATTTTCAAACTTACTCATGCAGACGCCAATGCAACTCTCATCCAATGTAAACTTGGATTGGACGAGGGCGTTGTAGTACTGGAGTTTGCCAAGTGGATAGGGTGTGATACCTTTTCCTGAACGAGTCAAGTGGAACTAAGGTTCTCAGCACAGGCAAGGCGAACCTGATGCTATAACACGCCATTACTACAGATTTCAAGACTGTAAAAAGACGCCTTGATGTTCCGTCTCATTGCGTTATAACCTCATCACAGAAACTGGGAAACGCGAATGGTACTCCCTGCGTGTACATAAAAAATGTTGATGGATATGCGATTGGTTTGTGGGCGCGTGGCCTTATGTACCATAATGCATAATGTTAATTACGGGCAAGCTGCCTTTGCGTTGCTGTGTAAGGGTACTGCGCACTGGAACTTGCACAAAACCGCCTGATCCAGGTCTGGCCGTGTCGGTAAGACATAAAATGTGGTAACCAAGGCACGAATAGAAAATTCTCTTGAAAATGATGGGTTAAATGTTATCGCCCGCTTTCGAGAGGATGTTATTTTCTGCATTAAACTGGCCGCTGTCTTTTATGTTTTAATTTATTATTATTATTTTTTAATGAAATTGTACTGGTGCATTGGAGTAAATCGGGAGGGAGGGTTATATTATCCCTTCACATTTTGACAGATGGGGTGGGCTATTGAATACCCTCCCATTTTTATGGTGGGAAAAGCAAATACAGCTGACTGTGAAGAGTTCAACATCACTCAGAGAGGGAGAACAAGAAAAAAAAAGGCATAAATATTCCATTCTAATGTAAGCTTCTGCATGAATGCACACAACCATACGCCATGATTGACCGTCGATCAGTGACGTCAACGGTAAGGATCAACGGAAAATATGCGCGTGCATGGGAAGAAAGGGACGGGTGATAAACATATTCCTACGGTACGGTGTTCTCTCCGTAACAGCGCACAGGTTCAACTGGTTTGGGAGTATTGCTCGTCGCGGTTTGGACGGGTCCCATGGTGGATTTGGTTTCCTTGTTCGGGCTTCGGAAGGGGACGTTCCTGATCGCTGTATCTTCGTGGGAACTGGAAAACATTGGATAAATGGATAGCCCTGCACAAGATCTACACAGCTAGTGTTACAACATTTTATTCAGCAGTTCGTGAGAAAGCCAGCGAGACCCAGACAGACGTACACTTGTCACTCTGTGCCCTCGGCTAGCTGGCCGGACAAAAATGACGTTTTCATTTCAAAGTGTGATAAAAGCACACATAATTTATATCAGACCATAGCACTCTGCATTGTGCAGTGAGTTATACAATAAACCCAGCCAGGGTCGAAGTGGGAATCTCTCGGTCGGCAAACCTTGCAATGGGTAAACTGAAAGACTTCCAGATTGTTTTGGAGAAGAGCAGGAAGGTGTTTTTGCAGGGTGACGCCATAAGAGGACAGGTGATGATGTCGGTGGTATCAGACGGTTTACAGAATGTGAAAGGTAATGTATATTTGTTCGGTGTACCTTATATATAGGATCGCAAGTTTTAATAATTGCCTTAGCCAAACGAAATTGGCGAGACTGCATATAGGCCCCCCTCCTGAGAAAAGAGGTCAGGTGGAATATAAATGTGCACAGAGCTGCAAGGTTAAGGCAGGAAAATGGCATTCGGATATTTGGTTTGTTAAGACTACGGTATTTCAAAAATGCTTTCAAAGAACGAAGAGCAAAACGAACGATCCAGGATAAGATGCTCGATAGTTCAATACGGTATCCTGGGTATTGCCACTGGTCTTCGATCTATTAGAGCCCATGGATCGTTCTTTTATTAGCAGAATCACAAGCCATCAACAATGGAAAAGGTAATTTGTAAGATATTACCAAGGGAAGAGTAATGTTTCTTTTGCCCTTTGGGGGGGGGGCTCCTGCTTTCCCCTTCCCCTCACGACGGCTATGTCCGCACTGGCATTCCAGTGCGTATTGTACAGCAGGTAAAAAGCAAACGTCTAGTCTATTGTCCGCCTTATACACAGAGTAAGGAAAAATGTCAAGCTAGGTTAATAAAGGAAATGAAGCGCCTTGTTTTTCAGGTGTGTGGTTGATATTTCACGGTTGCTGCGGTGTACTAGATGCAGGAAGGCGGCACGGTGTACCTCGCAAGGAGGAAACGTATTTCAACGCTTGCATCACCTTGTTTGGAAAAGGTTAGTCCTCAGTTTGCATGTGCCACATTTTGGGGAAATATGTTCAAACATTTTTTGACCCCTCGGTAGTTAGAACTTAGAACTGACGAATCGGGGCGCAGCTACAGATATACACCCATTTCTGTAAAAAGTATCAGCGTAATTATAGAATGGACGTTCTGACATGGGCGTGGCAAGGGGAGGGCAAGAGGGGGCACTTCCTCCCCCCCGAAAAAATGCTGCCCATAAAAGTAAGACAAAAAGAAGTAAATAGAAATAAGACTACACATGGGATGAAAGTCACGGAGTTGCTTTTGAAACGTTGGCCCTCCACTCCACCCCTTAATGGGTTTATAATAAATTATCAATTCTCATAAATTCTCAACCCACCCAATGGGGCAAAATGGTTTACTCCACCCCTTGGAAAAAATCCAGGCGACGCCCGTGCGTTCCGATAGAGGTTGTTTTGCGTATGCATTACTTACTTAAAAGTTGTGCTATATTGAACAGACCATGCACAAAACCAGACACAAGATCGGTTACAAGTAGCAGAGTGACCAATGACAAAGAAATGTAGTTTATTTGAATAGCTTGTGACTTGAATTCAGACTGGAGGTCTTGTGTCGGTCTTGTGCCTGTCTTGTGTGGTCCTGTGAAAGTCTTATTTTAAGTGGTCTCGACTACAACACTGCTTAAAAGGAAGCTATGGTAGCCCTGGTTGGACATCAAAGGCGCATGTATAACTTTGACGATAACCCAGTTTGTTTTGAGACATTTCCTTTTATCAAGACATCGCAAATATACTTACGACATAGAAAAAAATTGTTCACGACTTTTCTTTAACAATGTACGATCATGCTGTGAATTTAATTTTTATTTTTTTCCCCAACGCCCTGAACGATCAGGTATCAATCCCATTTGCCAGATACGCGAAGCAGGTGTTCACTTACTTATATGAATGAATCGCCGGCAAGGCTGCCATCTTGCTTCCATTAGGGCATGGGTGATCTGCATGCAATACAACTAAATGAATAAAAATGTCGTGGTACAAATCGAATGATATCATTTAATTATATGTTGTGCTAGAAACATTGCTTAAGCACCATCACCCGCCCCCTCCGAAAGTAATGACTTGAATTTCAAAAAAAAATGCTGTGTTACGAAACATTCTAGTTTTGCAAAAGAAATTGCGATGTTTGGGGAAAGAAGTCGACCATCTGATGAAAATTGGCGACGTTTCGAGAGTAAATGTAAAAAAAACAACGAGTGCTATTCGGGCTTTTAGAGTAATTAACAAAATGAGGTTACGTTACCATAGTGGCTCAGCCCCATGTACGACAATCATTCTTTGTTAGCCTTGTTCCCTGACCACACTACATACAATGCATGCTCATGTCATCCTTGTAAACGCCGAGATTATTAATTTGATTAAATTATCCATGCTACCCGTGAACAGTTCAAACGATGAAAATTACCTCCTTTTTGGAACCTCGTGATGTACATATAGGTCCAATTGGACCTTAAACTTGTTTGTTCCTGCCACAAAGGACCAGACGCCCTTGACACCCAAGACCTCAACCTTCTTCCCGGTATGCATGGCTTCCCGTTCGAATACCAACTCCCATGTCAGCCCATTCCATCTTCATTTGAGGGGGAGTTTGGATATGTTCGGTATAGTGCTACGGCCACTGTGTGTTTAAAGCGGGCGTTGGGAAACAAGAAATTCAGCACGGTAGAGATGTTCAGTATCGTTGGTCCAACAGTGGATCTGAATTCCGTTTCGGGCTTGCAGGTAAGTCTGGCCCTAGCCATGGGCGGAAATTTCTTTGTCACGTGTTAGGGATGATTTTTGAAAGCTTAGTACTGCCTCCCTTCCAGGTGAGATCGTGACACTGGCAAGTGCGTAATCGGTGGTGCAGGCTAAGGGTGTGCATAGTCAGTGACTTGAAAAGTACGGGGTAGCTAGGACATGATTATATTGGTAATCCCCCAGGTGAAAATGTGGAGGGATATAACACCCTATCCCCGGGACTTCCGCCCATGACCCCTGGCCGGCCATATCATTGTTGAACGTATGACTCGCGGTAAGCAGTTGTTGCACGTCCAGATCTTCGGTCGGGGGTGGAATTGAAGAAAATCCTCATTAACCTCCAATACAAGTTACTCGCATTATCCTTTTTCAAAATGCTGGCACCTTCTATTATGACCCCCCCCCATATTTCTTGGGACGTGGGACTTTCGGTGCCCCCATCCTTCCTGCTGAGTACCTCACTGTTCTTTTTTTTTCACCCTTTGTCATGTATCCCGTAGTTTCTGACAGTCACCTTTATTGTTGGCCTCGGAGCATCACGTTATACAAATTATCCAAAAAAACTAGGACTTTCTGGACGTTACAAATATGCGCATCAATTCATAACCTGTTTTAGCTAAAGCTGAACCAAGCCGGCACAGACTGAAAAGATTTGTTGTTTAGCGGACTAACTTTGATGAAGACCCTACTTTTTTTTACGTTTTCAGGAAGGTACATATTCAACTTATGAAGAAAGTGGATTTCTGGGCTTGTCTGGTGTCAAGACGACGGTTAAATACGGGATTCCTAGACAAGGCTTTGTACCCGGTGAAAACATCAACATCACCGGTCACGTGAATAACGCCAATGGCCCTAAACACTCAAGAGTTTTTCGGGCTCAGCTAGTCCAGGTAGATTGTGCCCCATGTTATAAAATAACCTTAACTTTGGACATGAAATAATAGCCCAGCTTGTAATTTCACGATATCAACGAAATCGAAGTTTACTTCACCGATGCATACAATACGATTGCCACAGGAGTCGCACGCGATCAGGTTGTCGATGAAGGACATACCAAGGTTGATTTAAAGGACATATTGGATTGCCACGGGAAATTCAACAAAGAAGGCATCCGTAGCGGCGCCCAGGACGAGTAACTCAACGGACACGTCGTTTTTTCTTGAGACGTTTTCAGAATTCCAGTTTATCGAAGCTATAGTCAGGCGGGGGAATTGGGCGTTTGATGTTTTGATGAAAGTACAATTTAAGATGGAAGGTTTAACGATATTAATTTTATTTTTTTTCTCAGAAAATTGTTTTCAACTTTGGTTTTATGACGGTATCCCGAAAGCAGTGTTTAGCAGAAGCATCAATTAAGGTAAAGCTCAAGAAGGGAGGAGAGGCATATTTTACAGTTGGACCTTTGAGCATACCTCCGGTGCCGTCTTCTGGACTTCCTGGTTGTAATCTGATTGATGTTAAGCACTACGTTAAGGTATGAACTAAAGCTGACACGCATAAACCTATATGTCTAGTCCATTGCAGATGCAGCTTTGTCGGTAGCTCAGTATCTCTGGGAAAGCTTTTAAAATAGGAATACCTTAGAATTTGAATAAACTGTGCACAATTAGGAAGCACCTTATCTTTAGATTGTAAAGTGAATATGGAACAGAATATGAAAGATGGGATGTGCAGGAAATTAGTTTAAATTTAGCTCGAGAGACTAGTGACTAATTAAAGGCCGTTCCAATTTCAAAAACAGGTGGACGATTGTGAGGGAAGCCGCGCTGGTAAATTCGCTGTGACAATCGGTACTGTGCCTTTCCATGAAGTCCAGCATTGTAGGCAGTCGCTTGCCGGTATCCATATGAAGGATACAGCGGCTGCAGTAGGTAAGATAAGCAGATATGCCTCCCGCTCACCATCAGTCATAATATTTACCCTTTAATCAAATAAAATCAAGGTAGTCCTTTACAAGGACAGTGGCGTCGCCGGGAATTAGCAAGGGGCAACCCCCAATTTAACTTCCCCCCCCCGCACACACCCTGATAAGAGCCTTACTACACTGTTGCATCAGGGGACTAAACCGAACGCAGAATCCGGTTACCGTAGCATAGTGCAATGGGAAAGCCAGCCGTGGTTAGAAGAAACAGTTCACGGTTTTGGGACGAGGCCTATTGAAGAGAAGAAGGATCCACAGTAGTTAGAGGAATTGCAACGGAATGCAGACAAACCATAAGTTGGCCATGGCGTTAATCAAGCATTGGGGTGTTATTCAAATGGGCTAACAAATGGGATTGGTTATCATTTCGCCTGTCGACTGGTTGGTCAATTGCCATTTCACGCCAAATTTACCAGTGTTGAGGTGTTAAGTTTTAGCATGCTGTTGTGACGTTTCAGCTCCCAAAAATATTCGTCTGAAATCTTGTAAGAGCACGCATCTTCAAATGAAAAATTGGATTGAATTTACACTGGAAAGTGACCCTTTTCAAAACTGGCTTGGAAATGAATGGATGTATCGGCATGGAAATCCCATTGTAGACAATTCCTTCACAATACAGCGCGCCACCAAGAATTTGCCGCAGACGGGCCACTTCTGAAGTTTGCTGTCGATACGCTAGCTGCCGCAATTAAGCGCACTTCGTACGTAAGTCGGGGATGTTTGATCGAGGCGTTCCACAAACCACACAAATTAACCATTTTTGTGACGACATAACATCCTTCAACTTTATCCCATAATGCACTGGGAAAAGGCCTCTCCTTGACAACCTCTTGGTGGCGCATTGCATTGTAAATCGCCCTTATTCAATCGATTTCAATCCATAGCTGCAGGTGGAAATTGCGAAACCCGACTGCCTACGTACGAGGAAGCAATTGGCATTGTAAGACCCGCCAGCGTCAGAGAAGATTCCGTGTCTGGACCAGCTGACACGTTTGTTCCTTGTTACCCGTACTTCTGCATACCAGCTACTGATCCGCCTCCCTCATATGTCAAAGAGTAGATGCCTATCCAGCCAATATTCCCGCAAAGAGGTCAGGATGGGAATCCAAACAATAATGTGATCTTCTTTTTATGATGATGACATCGTAAATCTACCCTCGGCAAAGTTATTTGGACCGATTTAACAGCGCGCAAGAGAGTGCATTGCCAGGAGGTGGATTTCTTTCTCGCGTACGCGCAAGGATCATCGAAGTATCTCGGAATGCGGCTTTGAACGATTAGACATGCGTGATAGAGTAGATCATGTGAATGAAAGTTTTCTTCTTAGCACCCATAACTTTTTATTATTGTGGCGTGACAGTGTGTGTGGCTACAGTTATGCCAAATTCTCATTAAAACACTCCACAGCGTATAGGCCAATATCTTTATGCATTATGCTGCTTGAACATGTAGAGCTAAAAATGTACAACCATTGACAGCCTTTTTGTTTTAATTATTTTTTTGTGCAAATGATGATTTTTTTTCTGCGGTTAGATTTTGACTTTCATTTAAGCATAATACCCCTTTCTCGACGTTCAAACCGTACAAAATGGTAAATGTTGCGACTTTTGAATCATGCCTGACTGTGAGCGCGTCCGGAGTCCTGGCGAACGTTTTGTTATTCAACTATGCGTCTTGCGCGGTCCAAATCACGGTTGACCACACACCCTGCGCCAGTACAACACCGACACGGCAGCCTGATGGATCGAAGTCTTGTCAGTCACGTGTATCAAACAAGACGTTATATATTACCGGAACTATAGAATTTCATAGTCGCGTTACGGTTACCGTACAAATAGCCACTGCGTTTATAAATATATTCAATGTGGTAATTTTGTTTGTTTGTTTGTTTGTTTGTTTGTTTGTTTGTTTTTTCAAGTTGAATCATTCCTGACGACGGATATTAATACAGTACCTATGGATACACTTTTTGTTATAAATGATACATTTGACATTACCTACAATTCAACGATATCACTGTGACGGAGAAAAGTTATATGTCTGTTGAAAAATGTACGGTAAGAGATGCCCGCATGCCTACTTCGAAAAATGCACGAAGTGTAATGGCGTACAGACTTATGTCTATACAAGTGGGGAAAGATAATAAAATTGGCTGAACACGCTGTCTGTCTTTAAACTCAGTAGAAAAATTTTGGGAGTGTTGATCCTAAGGCCCTTCCATAAGTCCATGCCCCGAATCTCTACCTCTATCCGTTGATAGTTTTAGGTATCAACTGATTATACTTTCTTATTTCAATTTAAAGTTGCATTTTATAGCCTGAAAACAACCTTTTAGGACAACGTTTCACTTACAGAAGCATTTAATGGTTTTGCGAAGGTGAATCTGATTCTTTGAATTTCTTTCTTGGCAAGCTTGAACATTGACCTGTCATTTTGATTGAATACAAATAAACACAGTTGAAATGCGAATCATGCTGAAAATTGCTTCAATTTGTTGCCTTTTTAGGAAACAAAATGAGAAAGGCAGCATTTTCCAAAGTAACAGATCCAAAATATTTCTTGTCTGAGGTTGACAAGTCACCCCGCCATTGTGAATCCGTTTCATTTGCACATACGTCGAGATAAAATTACAAAGTTCACAAATTTATGAAATAGAACTTGATAAACTGTGCACATTAACATAAGGTCACCACAGGGCAAAACATCATCAGCCGTGATTGCTTGGAACTCACTTAACCTTTAGCACATCTTTTTATCAACCCCAAAACGAAACATCATACCACGCAAAACAAGGTCAAGTCAAAGTACACTGCTCTGCCTTACACTGTAAACAACCAAGTTGGCCATTGCAAAAGTTTGCATGTTGTGGGGGAAAAGCTTTAAAACATGGGGGTTCTGAAGCAAATGCAGATAGTTTTTGATAACGACAAAGATGAATTTTCTCAAGGTGACGTCATAAAGGGAGCGGTGGTCGTCGAAGTGGAAGGGGACCAGGATGGCGGCTTGCAAAGAGTGAAAGGTATGTACCAGTCGCAACTAACGACAAGACTTTTGGAATAGGTCTAGTGATCATTCTTGAGAACTGTGGAATTCGTTGTTATCAAAATGCTTCCACTGATGCAACGGCCGTAAAATATGCCATGCCAGACTTGTTAATGTGATTACGTATAGTGTGGATACATCTGCCATCAGCAATTGTATAAGTGTTTAGAGTAACTGAATGTTTAAACTATGGTTATTCTGAAGGGATGTGTCATAAAGGCATCCCAATTCAAAACATTTCTCGAAGTCGTTCAAAATAATATCGACCTTGTGTGTATATTGTTATGTTTCACACGGACTTTTTAGTCAGAAAATTTCTCTGATTATCAGGCCTTCTGAAATTGATCCACCATTTATTTTAAGATTTCCCAATGCCAATTACTGTGACTTTAGCATAACAAGGGCTAAATGTCCATGAAAATAAAAATAATTGGCTGCAGCTGCCTACTAACAATCCTGGCCAAAATTGTTGGGCCTCGTGTCAATAGCCACACCCTCCTTAGGTCGTATAGGTCGACCCATGAGACACAACATTGACCGCAGATGGGGAGAGAGGTCCGGACAATGTTTCGAGATTTGGTTGGGATAGCTACTGACCACATGCCTCAATATTTCGTTGTGGTACACCCCTCAACCACACTGAAGGCCATTATCTTATCCTCTCATGAGCAAATTTATCGTCTGAGGGCGCTCTGTATATGCGATATTGTTGCTATTTTTGGCAGTTTCCTGGGGTCACAAAATGCATTCAAGGCCACATTTTCAAATAAATGAAAACAGTACATGTTTTGACAATACTATTCTAGGGCTTTTGTTCGTGACTGTGTCCAAGGACGTCCCCTGATTATGGGTAGAAATACGAATTAGTAACTTGGGTTTGGTAGGTGAAATGACTTTTTGCTTTGTTTTCAACAAAGTTCTCTAGCGATTTTACGGCCACTTCAAAGGCGGTGTTGTTAGGTTGCATCAGGCCGCTTTCATGTACAGCGACCAGTGAAATATGGAATGGTCAGTTCGTGTAATCGATTTGAGAAACGGCACGGGCCGGTACATTTTAGCAATATTCTATTTTACCTCGAAAAGGAACACAATGACTAAGTAATGAATAACTTTTTGCCATGCCATTTTCTAACTCGAGTACCGATATTAAACTCATGTCCAATGAGGCATAGATTAAATATATGACAATGATATCATTAAGTTTCATTCAGATCAAACTTAAATGCAATGTGGGTTTAAATACCGTACAGAAAAGGCTGAATCAGCTATGTGCCGTGATACAGAGGGGTGCACAGTTTTTGCGGCGAGAAAGGGTAAAACCAAACTCTTTAGTGATTTGACATCCACTGGATTCCCGGTGTCATTTTGTGTTGTTCAAATTCAGCTAAGGAATGTTTGTTTGTTGTCAGTTTGATTCATTATTTTCGTACTTGTACTTTTTCGGGGGCAGACTTGTCTGGTCATGCAGTGATGGATCAACCATTCACAAGAAAAAAAACGGTAGTTGCAACGCATTTAGGCGGACGGGGACCTGAGAAGATTAATGCAACATAAAAGTGGGACATATTTTGTGAGAATTTCTTTTTGAAAATGTCATATTACTTTGCTGTTGAAAACATTGTAATTAGGACAAATGAAAATGTATTTTCATCAATAAAGAGACAAATGCCGCCCGACTGCGCAACTCCTAGATCTGGTACTGTCTCACTATCAATTCACTAGATACGCCACGGCTTTTATGTTGAGATCACTTAGAAGAAATGGACCCAAACACAGTTGGGATCGATCTTATTGCTGTCGAAAATCTAGATAATTGAGATTATAAACAAAAATAAATCAGCATCAGTCCCTTAACCCATTGTATTTAAACCTAGAAAACTCTTTGTTGGTTCTGCACCCAGGGAAATGAAAAAAAAGTGATTTGGGGAAAATAACAAAAGTTTATGCGGTGTTGACTAAGCATTCAGGCGCACGGACTCCTGAAATTCGCAAGGAATCGCAGTTACCAGCTTCCGTATGGGATAAAGGGTCTCAGGGTTCCCAGCCCCCCCAGCTTTTCCTCCCTGCCCATCCATTTAACCCCCGAAAGGGTTCGAGCGACCATGCAAGGGAGGAAACGAGACAGGCCCTAAGCCCTGGCCGCCGAGTGGGCCATAATGTCTCGAGCTTGTACTAAGGCGCTCACCTGGACTTCGCGGACAGTCCCAGCAGAAGAGCTTACCTGGTCGGCTAAGGTACTGTTACTGGTATTTGACGGGGTGGATTTAATGTCTCTCATAGCTACTGGCAGACAGCAAGCGTTGGGAAAACTTCCTTGGACACCGTCTTGACACCCGTCTACATGTCTGCACCATTTCATAGTATAGTATTTTGTGAATGACACACCATGGTGGGGGGCGAGGACATTTAGAAAAAAAATGTTTGGCTTACGTCAAATGACAGCCGAAGATTGAATCCGGAGTCGGTTCAAGAGGGACTTTTACTTTTCATTTGAAATATAAATATACCAAGATCTTAGTCTTAATCTTTACATGAATCTGAATGCGCTTTTAAATTATCAATAGCAATTTACACGACCTCTTGGTTCTTCGTAAATATATTAAAGTTGTCAAAAACAGCAGTTTGGAAAACTTATTCGCCTCAAAAGAGGTATTGTTTTCTTCACATGCAATTAATGGTATCTCCTTTGAAGAGTTACACAATTTAAAAAGCATCTATTTGATTAAGACACTGGCTTATAATAATCTCTTTGTTTCAAGTGTAACTGCGATGAATTTTTCTGAGACACATTTTTTTAAGCAACTGAATAACTCTTCTGCACAGTTTGAAAACTGTTTCATTTCTCAGAAACACAAAAATATTATCCATGCCTAACAGGACAAATTGGACAAAGGAGGGCGCTGTTGCTGTGGCGTTATCTACGATTAGGTGCATAGGTTTTTCTGTTTTGGAACTCAAACGTTACACACCGAAAACATCTCTGAGACAGGGATTGACGTTGGTTATTGCAGCGCATGTAAACAACAATGGATCAGCAAAGAAGAGAGAATTTAATCCAGCGAAAAAAAATATGTTCGTGTACAGATCAATGTTACATTAAGGCTTTCGTCCTACGATAGCATCACACTTACAAGTGCTCATGAACATTGATCACGACGTGGCAAGTGAGGTAATTGTAATCAGTATATTTCCCGAGGGAAAAAACTTAAGGGCGGTGTTTACTCATTGCAGGGGTGTGGATAAAGTTCAAGGGCGTGGCCAAAACTGAATGGACGAATACCAGTTACAACAGCACGTCTGGTGCGACAGAAACGAAGTACCATGTGCAACGAGAGGATTATTTGAAGAAGACTGTTGTGTTGTTCGGCACAGGTAGGTTAAAGCTCGTGGTATATCGGCTGGCTTGCGTCAGTATAAAGGAACCTTTAATTAAAGGTTCTTAGCTATCCAAATTGGTTCATTGGTCCATTAGTCCTACCATAGTCAGGCCCAGTCGGCAAATAGTGCAGGCGAACCTCCTGATTTTTTACTCCCAAAATGGCGCCACCCAAGAATTTTGGTAGAATTATGACGTCATTAGGATTGGGCCTATACAACATTTGATTCTGAACAAACTAAGTTGACACGAATATTCATTTTTCCAATGGTTAGACGTACATTTACTCACAAACATCGGAAACCGTAAACGTAGTAATCGCCCAAAAATTAAAACAAAATTAAACTATTGAAATAAAAACTGCCCTAACTATACTCTTTAAATATACAGTACTACTGAATGATCACCATTGCAAACAATGATGGGAAGGTAATCGATTTAAAAAAATTGAACTTTTCCAAAGCGACAAAAAATAAGACTTAGGAAACAAGGACTTTGGTACAGGTAGCGTATCCAGCGATGAACATTGAGTGTCGGTAATCCAGAGAAAGTACCTTTCCACCTTTATGTGGGAATGAGGGTTATTTTACGGATGGAAAAGTGGACAGCCCTATATGGAAACAAATTCCAGTTTCCCACCCCTTCCCGAGACCATGTTATTAGCGCAGATTGGCGTTTTGACCACTGATTTTGGTTTTTTTGAGGCATTTCTCAATGATGTAGGACTACTGTGAGACAAGCAGAAGGATATTTGTTCTCTGGGAGGGGTTTCCCAAGCGCCACACCCTTGATGAGCCCATACACGGCACATTTTGCTCCGTTCCAGGAAAGTTTGACCGCGACATTGACAACCTGAGCATACCCCCAGGAACGAACAACTATCCTTTTGAGTTGCCAGTTCCAGACGATCCCCTACAACCGAAGTCCTTCCAGGGTATCTACGGGTACATTCGGTACACCGCCAAAGCCACGCTGTCGGTCAGACGGATGCACATCAACACGGAGACCAAGACGGTGAGGCCGTTCAGCATGATGGGACCCGCGGTGGATCTCAGCATCATTCCGGGCATCCAGGTTTGTCTGTTGACCCCTGTTGAACCGTTAGCCGTGCCAAGGAGGGCGCCATCGTAATCGAAACCGTGGTGCGGGAAATTAAGCCGTTGTTCCTATGAATCAGTGTGGGCGGAACCCGTCCATTGAACAAACATTTTAGAATGTGATTTCTGAAACTATTGTGGTTGATGCTGAAGAATTGTTTGTGTGATTTTAAAAGACAAAATGCAGAAAAGACACACATGGAAAGTTACTATCATTATTTTGACACCTCTACTCTTCAAGACTTTTAAATAGTTAATGGTCAAAGAACAGAACGCTATTACAATTGTAATAAATTTTAGCCAGATCGGGGATTCCTAGAACTGTCCGAGCTAGAATTTTTTTAAAATTCGATTGCTGTTTGACAGAACTCCGTGAAGACTAAAGTTACTCAGTACGGCTGTTGTGGATGCGGGACCATGGTCGAGAGGGTCATCACTATCGGTGTGCCCAGGCGCGGTTACTTCAGCAATGACGCCATCTACGTCATCGGACAGATTGACAACCGTGACGGCGAGGAAGAGATATACTTTGACACAACACTTGTCCAAGTAAATTGAGTGAGGTTCCCATAAGACATTCCATGAATCACAGGGTTTGCAACTTTTTATGCACTTGTTGCAAAGTATAACAGGTGTCCTGAAGCTAGAGCCTGAAACTGTTTGTAAACATTGTCCTTGCCAGTTGGCAACACTTTCTCTTGTTGTTTGTAAACATGCAATTAAGGATATCAAAGTAGTTTTTCACTAGCTGCAGGCACCGTCTACAATAGCTGCATGCATATTGAGTTCAAGGTTCCCGGTTCAGCGCTTGGAAATTAACGCTATGCTCATCTAAAGACGATCAAATTTCCATTTAAAAAAAAGCTAGAGGGTTTTTAAGATACGAACTATCCTGTATCTTTTAGCGTATCTTGTCATGGGCTAAGTTCAGTAGTTCAAAGGGTAAGTTACCACACTCTTTTATGCCCATCTCAGATTTTCGAACAGAAGATAAATACCGTTGCTTTAAGTACGTATTTTAGACACCCCCATCTATTTTTCCCTGCAAATTGTTAGTTGTCTACAATTCTAATATTAATCCCACCATTGTCTTCAATTTAATATCTTGTAAAGAGCAGTTCTAGTCGGTCCTGTGATTCAAGATTATTATACTCGACCTTACTGTAATGATTGCTGGTATTACTATGCACGCTCTTGTCTCTTCCCCTTAGCGAATCAGTTTCTCCTGTGGAAGGCACACTCGCACCAAGGAGTACAACCTAAGCCGGGCGAGTAAATCGGTCTCGTGTCCCAGGGGCTGGGTAACCGATTTCACCGTGGGGCCATTACATACCCTCATCAGTCCGCCCTCTGGTCTTCCTGGTTGTGATTTGATCGATGTTGAGTATTACGTAAAGGTACAAATCGTGAGCGATTTTCATAATGTTCGTGCAAGTCAGTACTAAAGATGCCGTTGAAAGAACCTTGAGACAAAGCGGCCTTCTTCAAAATAGCGCAATTTCATCACGTGATATTGATTTTTGCATGAGGAAAAAATCAAAACAAAACCAAAATTCAATCCAGTGCGCGCACTATAGTTGGGTAGACTATACAATTTTCCACAGGAAGTAAAGACAATTTGCCAATCGTGTATGACGCCTTATATTTTTCATCGCCAAAATAGTGGATCCAAATTAAGAACAGACTAAAATACATGGTGAATAATACAGAAGTTAAGCCTTGTGTAAATTAAGATGTTCGATTAGACATTTGTCTTCTCATTATGGAATTCTTCAAAGTAGACCAGCGCTAAAAAGTTGTTGGGCCTGATAGAAGTCTTTTGAGAAAGACAGTGCAGACACCAGCCCTCACTCTTTGTCTCGTTCCCCATGACCACTTTCAGTGCATTGGCTGTAAGTTTACCAAGGCAATTCCAGTGATCATTGGTACCATGCCTGTGCGAGGCGAGGCCCCGGTACTCACTGCTGAGTCCTCGGTACCAGCGGACGTCATAGCCCTTCGGCCAGCCAGTGTCCCTGCACCGATCACGCAAGACAGCAACTACTCATCTGAAGAATCGGAGACGGGCGAATGTGATAGACTTCTCAAATCCTCGCGTGAGTCACCCTGGTGCATCGCACTCTGCCTTGTCAGCTCCATTTGTATAGCTTTCCTATGTCAGGGCTATCGGTACATGGTCAGAATTTAGGGACGACACAATAATAAGGCTAGACTGTTTCCAAGGTCCATCCATCATTGTACTATTGTCAGAGGCTTTTAATGAGAATGCTGATGGGTTAAATATTGAGTGCTCATGAGTTGCTTTGTTAAATAATCTAATACATCGATTTCATTCTGCTCGATCCACCATCATCAGTGCATGAATGCTGATCAGAGTATATTTAATTCCAACTGTGAGTCTATGAATTGGAACAGTTTTCAGACATGGGTTTCCTTTGATTCGCTTTATCGCAGCTCAAGACTACGATTTGGATGGCGCCCCACCCGGTCGCCATATCATCAGGTGATGAGAACCAACCAAACGCATCGGAAGACCGCTGTTAATGTCTGGGCTTGTCTTGAGAAATCATGCAAAGTGAAATAAGCCCTTTTTCAGCACCAATATTCGCTGGGTTTCAGCAATGGGGTTATGAGGGCGGATCAAGAACGAAAATTGGGGAGGGGGTAGTCCAAGTTGTTTTGGGGCCAAAAAGTTTGGACATTTCTGTATGTTACCTTTTGCGGCTTTTCTGAGGCTGAATTTGAAGGTTTTTAACCCGCTTTTGGAAGAAATGGAAGTGAACTGGTCCCCCAACCTCCTATTCCACGATTACAAAATCTTCTGCAAAGTTGACGTAAGCCTACAGACTGAGCTCACCCTTTCGATGAAAGAATTACTTCCATTGTGGGATCGATCTCCCCACAGGTGATTACAAAAATACAAAAACAATCGACGCAACAACAAAGCAGAGGGGGCTAAAGATCAAAATGCATATTTACTCAGTACTCAACAGTTCATTACATTTGGATATTTTGAAAATGAGCTACTTCTAAAACGTCTTACCGTACAGATGTCGGCAGTTGCCCCGATTGTAAAATATCCATTTCAAAAATGTCGTTAGTGTCACACTTCCCTTCCACATTTCCAAATATTACAATTTTATATTCCTACATGTAATACATTTCACTGCTCTTGTTTATTGCACATTACTTTAATCGGATTACAAATAAATTTATCGCAATTGGGCTGAGTAATAATTAAATGCTCTGTCGAAATCAAGGTTTGCATAGTGCTGACTGGAAAAGCATAAATGTGGCAATAGAACATGAATATCGCTAAGTATAAAAAACATCAGAGTTAATTAAAATGCATACTTAGTTTGCTAATGGAATAATCGCAGATTTGTTTCGTATTTAAAGGCACAAACGATCAGCGTCCTCACAAAGAAACGCTAATTCGTGTCGACATCTCAAGATTGGAGAGATCTTTGCGGCCTAATACAAAATTAAAAAAATTACACAAAACGTACCAAGAAAATCAGAAATATCAAGACAATGGACTTTAGTTGATAGTACACAGTTTAAGGCTTAAACCAAACATCAATGCGCATGCATTGTATCATAATGCACCAGGTGTTTTTTAACCACTCCCTGCAAAACGTATAACAAAATCAAAACATCCCAAATATCAGTTAACCTAATTTCTCTATTTCTACCGAAATGAAATTCCTACAAACAATGAAGTCTTTCTCTTTTTACTGACAAATGTCTGCAACGAAATGCGCTCACAACCATCCTGACAAAGCCGAAGTCCAATCACACATCCAAGAGCATTTAAACAAATCTGCACGACCCGTACAGACGTAGGGACTGAGTTCTATGATCTTGGATCAATCATATGAAAATACATGTACTACGTGAATTTGGGTCGCTGACATTTTAAAACGATTGTAGAATTAAAAAAGCAGAATACACATAAATCAAAATACTTGTATGGGCAAAATTTAATGTTTTTGTCATATAGAAAACTCCATTTTCTAACACTATAAATGTATTACGATTATGCAAATGCTGAAATAAGTAGTCCTCATAGGATTTCAAAACGTTTCCAGGACTTTTGCCAGTACAAAAAACAATTTTGAAGACTTCTAACTACCTGGAAATTAAAACAAGGAGACTTTTCATGACCTTTTTTTCAGGCCTCAAGAGCCTTACTGGTCTCACGGCCCACAAAATGTTTAAGTTTGAACAACAAAGCTCTGTCAACCGCTGGTAATTTTGCCTGGTAGTCTGGGCACATTCTGTGCACACGTTACCAGGGAAAATCGACCAGTAATTGAGAAATGGTTGTCCCTCAGACTTAATGCTGCCAGTTCCTGGTTCACATACAACTGTGCATCTACCTCATGCCAATAAACACCGAGTAGATGTATTCATAAGTCTTGAAGATCAAGGACAGACTTCATGCCATCAATGTTTTTTTTTTCATATCAAAAGCACCTTCAATGTGAAAGAGACAAATTCTGTAATAAAAGCAACCTATGTAAATGTTTCAGTCGTTCTTGGCATCAAGATTTCAGAAACTACATTAAATTATAGAATTCAAACCACCCAAGCCAGTTAAGTCCACATTCTCATTTGATATCTGAAAGTATTGTGATCATGGCAAAAAAAAATCAAAAGCCAGCAGGAACAGAAAAACCTCAGAGAGTTTAGTCCAAACACTGATCCAAAATCAGAAAATTCTTTAAAATTAAAAATGTAAATTTTTGGTATGGTGTAGGGGAAAGTGTTTGATTGGAACCAAACTAAGATGGGTACTGTGGTAGTGCAGGTACAACACAGGTTACCTTGCACGCTCAGAAAAGACTCTGAAGTTTCTACGTAAAACTAGCCCAACTAATGTGCTGTAGTTGTGCCCATCACAAGTCTCTTTACACGTCCAGTTAAAATTCCTTACACGTGAGCTAGCAAGAGGGCATATGATGCCAAAGAAAATGCTTATGTCCCAGGTTTGAAGAGCCTGTGACTTGGCTTAAGACTGAATGACTTAAGCTGCATTTGAAGGCACTTGTGACACACTCAGCTACAAACCATCAGCATAACCAGGATTCTAACTCTTGGGGGCAAGTGGGACTATCACTCTGTTTGCTTCTCACAAGTCCAGTGGTGGGGTAATGGGGCAGGAGAGCTATGACCTTTTGTGGGATGTCCCCCCCCCCCAGTCCCACCCCCTCCCCAGCTATCCCGCTGCTGCTACACACCAGTAAAATGACTTCTATGCATACTTTTGCATAGGTTGAGGACTACATTGTTGCCCCGGGAGGGGGGGGTAGGTTGAGGACTGCATTGTGGCCCCGAGGGGTATCAAAGGAGCAATGGAATGAGTATTTACTGGTGGCAACAGATTTAACTCACTTGGATGCCATTTTTGATATTGTTCCCACAATCTGATTCACATACATGTACTGTAATTTGTTGATTTGGATGATACCAGACTATTTTTGTGACTGGTTTCCTGTCAAAACCTCCCATCAATATTTTTTCAAAATCTGGCCTAAACCATTGAATGCTTGATAACGAATATGAAATTATTCATCATAGTAGAAAGGTCCTGATTTGCCAAGAAAGTTCACTTTACTGCTTTCATTTCTACTCTCAAATTCCAACTTTAGTGATTTCAATTTGAATGTGGCCGACCCCATGAATAAAGTCTTTGACTTATATGCAGGGTCAACTTTATAGAGTTGCAGAGCAGAAACAAAATTTCACCAATCAGCTGTGAAACAGTATCAGGCAGAAACCCAATGTGACAATTTGGTCAGTGGCCTGGTTTGCTAAGCAAAACTTCATTCACAGCTGAAAGTTATATGTATGGCTGTGGCTAGCAATATTGTGTGGGCTTCTGGGAGCTAATAGCCACTTCCTATGGATACTTGCTGTAGCAAGCCCCAGCCAGACGATTCAGAATCAGCCTTGTCCGTGCTCCTCCAGATTGTGCACTTAGCATGTCTACAAAGTTGTCCCCGAGCCTTCTCTTGGTACCTGCATCACTGGAAACGAGTATGGACTCCAGCTTTGTCTCATCAGCTCTCTGGTTGGAATTGTTGAGTTGCAAGAGCAGCTAGGACGGCCAAGATGACTACACCAATCGTCAGTCCGAGGAACAACCACTTATTCTACCAAGAAAGGAAGAGAAAGAAAAAGAAATCCTCATAAATTACCTGAAACTTTGACGGTTTATGACAGCTGTTTAAAGTCATCTAACCCTTTCATCCCAAAGAGACACGAAGAGGAATTCAGCAAATAAGGAAGACTGTTGGCTGCCCTCACATTAGTCAGGTCAGGTCTCAAATCTTAGGGCTTGTCTGAAATAGACTTCTAGAGCTATGGCTATGTCTATTGCCCATGTATTAACAGTTGGTGAGGACCAACATGTAGCCCCTGACACACAATTTGGATGCAGCTTTAGTCTCAATATCCAGTCTGTGTTTACTACAGTCATTTGCAAAAGTTTAAGACCATCTGGAATTCTATTTCTGTCACTGGGACTGCATTACATTGTCTCTATGAATAATTACTTAACATCTTTTTACAGTGGTGCATAACATCAGTGTAGTGCTATATACCCGTTTGAATGAAATTTGTTGCAAAGGCAGGTCTTGTATGACATTCTGTTTGTAAGGCAGCTTGGGTAAAAAAAGCCAGTCTAAGCAATCAGAAATAAAGGAGGGAAGACTGAATATTAGACTGTTAACATTTCAAATCATGGAAATGTAGTCAAATAGCTGAACCAAGATACTAAGGTTACACATTGAAATAAACGTAAGTTTGGTTTTTCTTAACGTTAATGCATTTTGTATGGGTGGTCCTAAACTTTGGCAAATGATTGTAGTAGGCCATCCTACCACAGCAAATGAAACAGACTCAGTGACCAAAGCAGCGATTCACAAAGCCCTCTGCCCCTTGTGAACTTGTGAGGGGGAAAAAAGCTCCCTCCCTTTGTGTGTGGTGCCAAAAACAGAGATTGAACAGCCAATCAAACACGGAACAAAGAATTCTTCTGAGCCAGTTGCAGCCTGAGACATACGCAGAAATCTTGGACACATCTCAGATCACAAACATGTAACACTGCAGATATTAAATAATGATCGGTCCAAGTTGCTTTATGATCACCTCTCCGATTCATGCTCAGCCATGAAATGTCTGGTTTTGACAAGACACATTGACTTCATGAACGAGCGGCTATGTCACAGCATACCAAAGTTTTGGGCACTCAAGCTGATGAGGGACTTACCATTCGTCGTCTTGGGGTGATCTTAGTGACACTGGCCATGTCGCTCACCATGCGCTGGTAGAGCTGCTTCTCTGAGTGACGTTCCTTGGTCTCACGGTTTGTCAGTCGGGACAGCTCATGATGGATGACCTACAAATCAAGAACCATGTCAAATGCCACCATAAGATTTCGGCAGTCCTTAACTCTACACCCAAGTTTAAAATAATATTTATTTCTCCTCCCATTGTTTTTTCCCAAAATAGAGGCCTTTTTCTCACCACAACGGATGTTTTCAAAATGGTGGATGGAGTTTCTGAACTGTATGGCTGAAGGTTCACCTGATCTGGATATAAACTTTTGGCTGAGCTGGATATGTGATCATTTAACCGTGTAAAATAAAATGCACAGTGAATCAGGAGTGAGTTGTACGCAAGCTGCGATGAAGCACTATAAATACCCATCATGCTAGCTATCCCATGAAACTGTTGAGAGATTTCAAACAAAGAAAACGGACCGTCAAAAACAGAGATTCTTTGGTGAGTTTGGAGACGCCAATGAAATGACTCACTTTATTTGACGGTTCTCGTGACAGAGCTTCCTTCATTGTCTTAACTGCTTGCTCATAGTCGCCCTGACTTGCAAGGACCTGTTTGGATTAAAGGTCATGAGGAAATAAATTACAGAGAGAAATCAAAAGGTTAACAATTGGCATAACAAGAAACAACAAAGGATTGTCAGACTTCAGGCAATGCAGGACGGAAATAATACGAGATAGCCTGAGGTGTCTGTGGTTCTGGAAAGAGCTGGAGCCAGAAGGTTTAACTTAACGTTTCGAACGGTGAGCTCTGTTGGTCTTCAGAGACAAAGAGATTCTTCTTTAATGTTGGATGCCTCAAGCCTTGAGGCTTGTTTTGCGCTGCCTTTTTAAAACTATGCGTTCAAAACAGAATTGTACTCATGGTGTTACTGCAAACTTTCTCCCATTTCACAAAGAATTGTTCTTTTCGTCAAAATTTAACATCCTGTAGAAACAGTTCTCTAACGTGTAAATATGTGTCACAGAAGTGTTTGGAACAAAAGAGGGATAATACCTTATCCACTAAGTTAGAGTAAAACATGACTTGGTGAAGAAATCAGTTAATTTGACTCATGGATTCCACTCAACATTTCAACAAATTGACAATGGGCAGAGAAAACTGCCTTAATTGCTGAGTTCACCGATTCTCCTCAGAGCCTAGTCAACTCCCCTAAGAAAGTCACCACACAGCACAACCACAAAGTGACTTATACTGCTTACGGGCACTTGGTCATGCATATCTTGTAGCCTTATTCAGGCACTTACATGTATCTTCAAACCTTATCCAGGCATTATTTCTCTAGCCATGAGGTTATGGCGGTTCACCTGTTAACTTACTTTGCCTTTCCTAAAGAGCGCCTTGACATTTTCAGGTTCTGCCTCCAGAGCGTTATTACATGACTTCAGAGCAGCTTCATAAGCATCGATCTACAATTAACACAAGTACACATTTACAAAACATTGGGCAGGAAAGTTTGGATCTTTCATGAAGTGTTTCAATTTGTCTCACAGGGACACACAGCACCAAGACCATACATGTACAAGTACTTTCAAATACAGAGAAGCGCCAAGTCTGATGATCAACAACAGGCTAAACGTGAAATGTAAAATGTTTAGGATTAACCCCTTCATACCGGGAGCCGTCCACAGCCGCGGCTGTGTGTGAGGACTAGTGCACACCACACATACAGTCTATTCACCATGCAGCTGCTGGTTCAATGGGGCCTGCTGCTAGACAGAGCTTTGCGTACTGGGAATACCACAGCCCAGCAGTCACAGTCAAAAGAATCCCAGTGTGAAGGGATTAATTAGAAAGGATAAAATCACCATTAATCTCCTGGACAAGTTTAGTTCTTCTGTACCTCAAAAGGTTTGTAACAGTTACTGCTTATTAATGCTTGGCTGCGGGGCACCAATCTCCCTGGTAAACAACCTGATTATCAGTTACTCAGTGTGTTCAAAGAAGCCACTTATCTTGTTTGAGTGGTTTTGGTACAGGTGTACATGTGACTGACCACATCATGGCTCACCTTCAGCTGGGCTGCTGCAAGGTTGTTGTAGCATTTCACCCTAAGCTCCATCACAGCTTGTTTTGATCCGTTATCATCAGAAACCTGCATTAGGCATCGTTGAAGACAAGATACTATTCGTAACCTCAGTGATGCTCTTGCAGAGTTACGGTGTGTCACATGTACCACTTTCATTTTTAATTATTAGTATTGTAGATATTTGGATTTTTGCATCAACCTTCACTATTTCGATGGGTTCCTCTATGAATATAGATGACAGCCTCTTGCAGTAAATATACAATGAACAGTCTTATTTTGTTGCCGAATACACGTATGTCAACGCTACTGAATACCACACCTTACATGTGTGAGCTGCACTATCACTGTATAGCCATAATCAGGTGTAATGCAAACATGCCAGAAGTTTCTTTACTCTGCTAGAAAATGGTATTGTACTGCGAGTGTGATCATGTGATGTGTCCTGTCTTGGCTCCCGTAAGTAAGTCATTCATACAGAAACTGTACATAGTAATCATAAACATGCAGTAAGTATTGGTGAAGCAATTCTCAAGTTAGGACTGCTTAGCCGCATGGGCCTTTGGTAAAGTACTTTTGTTGTCTAACTGCGACAAGGAATCAACCCTTTCTTCCTCTCACCTTTGCTTTTTCCAACAGCTTCAGTGCCCTGGATAACGAAATCAAAGACAAATCAATTGATCTATGGCAGTGCAAACTTTCACCTATCAGTTTCCAAAATCAAGCATTCCTAACAACTGATTTGCAAAAGAGCAATTCTGACCAATGCCAAGTGAAAGACTCAAATGTAGACATCATGCAGGGTACCACTTACTTTGAGTACGAGTTGATAGCTCCAGAGTAGTCCTTCCTGGAGAAAAGTTCGTTACCTCTCTCTCTCTTCTTGTCTCTGTTGAAAACAGAGACATTCTCAGTTGTTAGTACCAACAAAATTATATCAGTTGTACATTTAGAAGCCTTGCGTTAGATTGTATGATCTCTGCTTTACTTATTGAGGTTCAGCACTGAACACAGAAAGGATGAGAACATTTCTCAGAAGTTACCACAACGAGTTGATTTGACTGAGATTCACGCTTTCAATCTTTACAAAGGATTTAGTTCTCCTACCGTGACAAAACCCCTGGACACTGTACGTTTTGAGGCACTGTAAAGGTGGAAGTCAAATGCTAATGGATGGACTCAAATCTGCTCCTGCAGCAAATTAGTTTTCTGAGTTCAGTTTAAAAAAATTGAATATTTCTGCTTTGGGGGGTCACAAAATAACATTACTGTCATGCGTTGTTGAGTTAGAATTAGCAATAAGATGCATTTGTATACTTCATTTCTCTACAATGAAATGAGAATGCGTGAACAGTCTAGATTCCGATACAAGGAGATGATCGGGCAATATTCAGACAAAAAGAGAGGATAATCCGAACTTGAATTCCCAAAAAGGGGAATTCTGGGTTTCCTGAAGTGCAAAGTTAAGCCAAGATTTGAAAGCTCGATTAGTGATGACAAAGATCGTTACCCCGTGGAACAAACTTCCTCAACTGTCATTTCCTCGAGGTCTGGTGCTGGCTGTACGTTCAGCAGCTCCAACTCATAGGTGACCTCTGCATTGGGAGGTACATCGGGAGCTCTGCAGGACACAGATGAGGCAATTACAAAATGAAACTTGGTGCAGAAATGTCCAAAGGCAATGGGAGCAAGTCATTTTTTAATTCAGTTGACGGCATTCCCACTCAAACGTTTCTGTAATTAAGGCACAAGTTTGGCCAGAAACACTGAACAAATCTCCTGCAACTCTGCCCTACCTGATGTCCTCTCTCTACTTTTAAACTTTTCAGCCTCGAAATAAAAAAATACTTCATGACAGGGTGAACATGATTGATACTGATACTGATTAATCCAATACAAAAGGTCGAACGTACCTGCCCGTTTCACCATACGCAAAACGTGGACTAGTCTTGATGATGGAAACTTCGCCCAGATCCATTAGCGATAAACACAGATCCCATGCTGGAAAAGAGATGCGAGAATGACAATCAAACAAACTGAAGAGACTTTTGAAAGTGGCTGAATCGTGTCCACTTTATTAGATTCCTGCTATTTTCTTTCTTATTTGCTCCAGGAACTTCTCCTAAACATTGAACGATTTCTGTGAAGAACTAGCAACATTCCCATGCTTTACTTTCCTATCTAACAGATTACGTACATGTACATACATACATGTACACGTATACTCAACACCATACACAAAAAATCCCCTCTCACCTCTTACAATGTATTTTCATTGAAGATAAAGACCATTCAGCTTTGGAAAAAACTGGACTTTTCTGTGGAAAAGCAGGTCTAGGGCATTTTTGAAACTTGCCCGAGATTATACAGTAACTTCAACGGCTACACAGGAAACTCTTGCTTCTGTTAAGGCTGATTCAATTTGAATATTTGAATATTCAACCTTCCAATCAATCAAGTATTCGGTTATGTCAAATTCCTACAAAAGCAAAAAACACAAGTAGCATATTTTTCAATATGTAAAAAAATAAAAACTTTGAACAGTAATTTCTGGCCTCATTGTTCCTCGCATGAATTCAGTTGCCTTTAAGTTGTATCTTGACGTGATGTATAATGCAATTTTGCACCTAAAATAATCAAACTCTTTCTTTTTTGTCTTAATGATTTTCAACTCTCAATAATCAATTTTGAAAATAAATATTCAGATATTCAATCACCAGATGGAATATCCAAATATTTGAATAATCAGCACAGCCCTAGCTTCTGTAATAAGAGGAACTCACCACTAACAACATCGCCTTCTCCAAGTACAAAGCTGATTGCTTCGTGGCAATCCACTTCTGTCCCGTCTTCCAACAATCCCTTGCTCTTCAAGGTGACCATTTCGCCCCTCTGTGGTCGCGAAGCTGCTCCCTGGCCCTCCCTCAAGATTTTCTTCATCAGCTGACCATTACCTATAACGTCCATCCACTCAGGGGGTTCACCGTCCTTGGTTTCGGTGGTTGGGCTGGCCTCGTCTGGGGCTTTGTCACCATTTGTGACGGCGGTGGACATTGGCTCGCTTGGGTAAGAGTCGATCAGTGGCGGCATGTCACTGTCATCACCTTCGTCCTCAGCATCGGCACCATGATCCACAGAGCCATTACATGCATTGATGACGGCATCTTTTGGATTGGTGTCGTCGACTGCAGCCTTCTTTGCTTCATTCGTTCCTCCTCCATGGTCTCCAGCTTCAGGGTGGGGCTTGATCTCCTCAGCATCCATCACTGCACACCTTGAATCAGGAGTCTAGCAAGAGTTCCCTGGAATCAGGTTAACCTAGAAGAAGGACAATTCTTATTCCGGACAGTTTTTTCCCACAACTGACACCATATCAAGTTGAACCCAGGTCAACCCGTACCCAGGACAACTTGTACTTGAACAAACTGTATAGACATCCAAAAGTGAACGTTCACAACAGATTCTGTATTTCTGTACCTTGATTGGTCAAGAGCAAGTCACATGACATTCACTATTTTTGATAATTATTATCTTGTTTTTCATGGCCAAAAGAACTTCATGTACATGTACACTGTACATGTACATGTATATGTACATGTATTCCTGTAGCAACCAATATGTTTCCTGTTACCTCTTCCATTTTTTGGTACATGTAGCTAAGGGCTACCGCCTACAATTACTCATGTACATGTACGTTACGGATACCTCTTGCTGCTAATGTTGGGCTAAATTAAATTAAACTTAAAGAACACAAATACAGAAACGCTGCAAACTGCTTGCTGTCTACAGTGACCTACATACAAATCACTACCCCCAGAACTGTGGGGTCCGACCTCCACCCAGCTCCCACGGGGCAGACGTCTGACCCCCCTAGTTAAAAAAATCACACGCCTGCGGCCAATTTCATAGAGCTGCTTAAGAACAAAATTTGCTTAAGCACAAAAAAACTTGCTTAAAAAACAAGGGTTAGCAGCTCAAAA